GTCTGTTTTCATCAGTTTATAAATATCTGCAGTCTCAATTTATAATCTAATTGTTGTAAGTCTGCTGGTTAAAGAATAAGTTATATGAGTCTTTTGTGCCAACTGTAGGGAGCAGGACTTTGAGATGAAAAGTAAATTTCACTGCCTGGTCAAATAAAACATATCCACCTGGATTTAACTCAGGTCTATGATGTGGGGTCTCTGCAGGTGGTCAGGTCTATGATGTGAGGTCTACAGGTGGTCAGGTCTATGATGTGGGGTCTCTGCAGGTGGTCAGGTCTAGGTTCAGCTCAAAGAATGAGGTCAGCTGACCTGAGTATACTGAGTGACCAGGTTGTTCCATCAATGGATTGTTTCTTCCCTGATGGCACGGCCATATTCCAAGATGRCMATGCCAGAATTCATGGGGCTCTTATTGTGAAAGAATGGTTCAGGAAGCATGAGACATCATTTTCACACATGGATTGAGTCCACAGAGTCCACTGAGAGTCTCTGGGATGTGCTGGAGAAGGTCAGACTCTACCATCATCAATGCAAGATGTTGGTGAAAAATGAATGCAACACTGGATGGAAATAAATCTGCTGACATTGAARCTTATCTGAACAACGCCACAGAGAATGTGTGCTGCAATCAAAGCTAAAGGTTGTCCAGCTAAATATTAAAATGTAGGACCTTTTTTATATTTTTTTGGCCCGGCAGTCTGTGATCCTGAAAGGAAGAAGTGGGTTAAGATAATAGATGGATGAAAATCCTTTATTACTGTTAAGTTACTGCTTTAATACAGCTTCAGTCTGAATATATCACAGCCACGCACGGATTATATTTAATATGAGATATTTGAAATCTGCAGCCGTCAATTTCCCCAACTATGTTGACCCATCCTATTTTGGCAACCGGTATTTCAAAATAAAAGCCTCATACAGTTAATATAAAACATAAAACTTTTGTGAAGGAACACAAAAGGGGAAAAAATGCTCTGATCCACACTTAAAAAACAATCATTTAAAATAAAGTCGCACAGCATGAAATGACTTTTGACATTAAATAATATTTATTATAGTCAAAGAAAAGTCATATAAATGCATGATGACATACAAATGTTCTGATCAGTCACGAGAAATGATGTTAGCAGGCTTCTCTCAACATTAAAAACAAAAACAGGACTGAAAGGACACAAAGAAACTACAAAAATACAATTAAATAAAATAAAAGCTCATTTAGAGAAAAAACAAAACACTGTATAAAGACCTCAGTTGGCTGAATCAAGTGTGTTCTGACGGGGCCGGAGCAAAGACCCCCCTTTAAGTGCAAGATGTGCAAAATCTGACTCTTGTCATCACTGACGCCGCTCAACAACAGAGTTTTCAAGTCTTCTGACTTCTAACACAAGGCTGTAACTAAACAGTGAATCGTATCCCATCATGCACTGAGTCCCAGTGTCTGAAAGCAACAAGAGTCCTCTAAGGTGCAGCAGTGAGTAKGATAGGCCGTTCTACAACACACATCAAGCTTACATGCTGTGGTTTCAACTCCCAGATTAAAGTCAAGCCATAAATAAAACACGTTGAGCAATATGTACATAAAACAGRTTCATGTAAAACATCCAACTCTGACAAATAATTTCATAGACGTTTGAACTGAGGTCTGAAAAGGGTGGCGAAGAGGCCTTAAAGACACAACTGCATCGGATTCAATCCTCAGAAATGTGTCTCCTGTACAAGAAATTTAAACCAACTTTTATTCTCTGCTGTTTTTTTTTTTTTACTTTTGCACTTTTCCCCCAAAATAAAARAGACAAACTTTAACAAAAATCAGAAAGTTTGGCTTGGACCTGTACTGTAAATACAGACACACAAGAAAAGACGCTACATTGTTTCTTTTTTATTTAATTTCACTGAAAAAATAGACTTTCCATCAAYAACAGATAAATATAAATTATTCAAATATATACTGTAAATGTACACCTTCTATTTTAACAGGCAAGCAAAAATTTATCTTGGAAAGTCTTTTAGGAAAATTTGGGTCTGAGTTTATGAATTAAACATTTCTTGAAGAAACGGGTCAGATCATTTGAAGTGAGGTGATGAAGACTTATTATCTTACCTGTTGTAGATGGATTTTTGAACGACCCCAGTTTGAAGAAATAAAGATTAACGGCTCATTTATAATTACCAAAAGGAAAATGGTTTGCTGCTGTCGTCAATCAACTTTAATCTCAAAACTTTGTTTTTTAAATTTAATGCTTTTTAGTAATATTTTATTTACTTTCAGGCAGTGTAGTAGTGTTTGAATGAACCACTATTTTTTTTTTTACTGTAGGTGTTTCAAGATGGCCGCAGTCCCGTTTGGCTCATTTAACAACGATTACTGTGTCAGTTTAGTCAGTATCGATTATCCAAACTAAGTTTKTCCAAAGAGCTTTCTAAAACAGGTAAGATATTTACTGTTCGTACCCTTTCTACCAAGCCCCACTTGAAACAATCTGCTATCAGAACTGTAAAGTTAAAACACTCCAACCAGTCTTCCAAACATGCCTCACAGTGTTTTTTCTAACTTCACGCCTGTCTGATGCTGAGATCAGAATGAGGTTATTGCAGAGTTGCACGTGCAACAAATCCTCCGGTAACAACCGTTAGCATTGTTTCTCACAGGTGTCGGGAACCATGTTGGTGCTGAGTGGTTTGTGTTTTGCAGTCAAAAGTCTGGCGTCTGCAGCAGCAGGCTCTTCGGGTCCAAACAAGCAACAGTGAACCTCCTCAGGACCGTAAAATAACTCCTTTGATGTCCACGGTTAATTCGGCACCGCTTCACAAAACGTTGTTTTCATGGTGTTTTCAGATGGAGCTTCTGCGCTTATTGAGTCTCCTGTAGGTGTTGATGCTGTGCAGGCCGGTGGACACGGAGCTGATGCCCGAGTGGTGCTGCAAGCTGCACATGCAGCCGTTGGAGTGGAGGGGGTTGGAGAAGGCCTCTCCCTGCTCCATGTAGGAGTCCGAGGTGGAGAGGTCCCGGGGGATGATCATGGGGATGGAGTACTGCAGCTTCTCCCTGCTTTTATACCACAGACACGAGCACACGGACTGGAAGTGGAGCACCTCGGCGTAAACGTTGCGCAGGCCGCGGCTCGCCGCGCCACCGCCGCCGCTCCCGCCCACCGCACTCCCCCCGCCGCAGCCTGGCGGCGTGAAGGACGGGGACGCCGGGTCCGCGGAGCAGTTGACGTGCCCGCCCGCCTGTCCGTTGTGGGCGAGGAGCGCCCGCTGCTCGGCGTCCCTCTTCTCGTCCTCGGCGTTCATGGTCATGAAGCGCAGCACGGCTAAGTTGAGGAAGGCGCCGATCACAGCCAGGCCCGTCAGGATGTAAATAAAACTGAAGGCCACGTACTCGGGCTTGGTCTGCAGGGCCTGGTCTTTCTGCAGAGCCACGTAGTCCCCGAAGCCGATGGTGGTGAGCGTGATGAAGCAGTAGTAGAACGCATGAAAGAAGCTCCACTTCTCGAAGTGGGAGAAGGCCATGGCCCCCACACACAGCGTGCTCATGCAGGAGATAAAACCGATGGTCACCATGTTGGCCATGGAGACCTCGGTGCGCCTCATCCCAAGGCACCTCTTCAAGCGGTGGAGCAGGAACCTGACGAAGGTGTTGATGCGCTCGCCCACGCTTTGGAACATGACCAAGGTGAGCGGGATGCCCAACAGGGCGTAGAGCATGCAGAAGACCTTCCCTCCATCGGTGCTGGGGGCTGCGTGGCCGTACCCTGCAGAGAAACAGGAGAGAGAGGCGGTGTTAGTGGGCCGAGCAGGTCAAAYTGACCCTGCAGATGACAGATCTGAGGAGAGCTAGTCCAAGCTGAACTTGAAAGATAAAAGTGATTTGTATTCTCTGAGTGTATCGTCTGATAGACTCTTCATTTCACAGTGGCAGAATGCAATTGGAGATGAGAATGCACGGCGGCAGGAAGAGCCGAGCGCCGATGCCCCGTGTGGAGGAGAGGTTTTGAATAATTCATGGACACTCATTGGTCTCTGCAGAGTGGCTTCGACTAATGAGTGCATTTGCACCTAATTAGGACTCAMCATTTTTCCAAATCAAATAAACAGGACACCAAAGGGTACGATGCAAAAATCCATCCTTACTTGTTCGACTGAGGAGGGAAAAAAGTCGTTTTGTCTTGTTGTACTTTGATTTTACAAATGATGTCGTCCCACAGAGAGTGTGCTTTTAGTGTTCTCCAAACAGCTCAGATAAGAGAAAAATCCTAATCAAGAGAAAATCTCTCATTTAGCTCTCATTAGTCCAAGGATGTCTGATACACTGRTAACTTTCAGTGTTGTCTGCTCTCAGAAAAAATCAAAACAAACTAGACATGGGTTTTTACGATGTAAAAACAAGTGTGCATTGCCATGCAGCATGTTATTGCAGCATGGCTTTGCCTGCAGCAGTGGACTTGCAGAATGAACTGTGGCCAAGTACAAATGTGTTTTCTATACCAGCTTGTGCCTGTCACGTCAGCAGGTGTTTGTAATTAAGGTAATTGTGTGACAATATGAAGTTTGAAGAGATAATTTTTTTGTTTAAGTTGCATTAGCTGGGWTTTGAACCCTGATCTCCCACATRAAAGTCCAGTCAGACCATTGGAGYTGTGGCAGAAGATGGTGGCAGGGGTATGTTTGAATGTGTGCAGAAAGACGCCACATTGCCAATACAATTATTGACACAAAAATGCACAATATTACAACAATCGAGCTGTATTAAGACAATATTATAGTAAAACATCAAAATATAATCATATTAGTACTGTAAACACTGAACTACTGAGTTGAAATATTAAACTATGGTGCAGTACCAAGTTGAGTACAGCATGGGGCAGTATTGGACCAATACAAGGCTCCATTGACTGCCATTATAATTCATTAAACATCAATATTTCATAAACTATAAGTTTTACAGGCACCAAAATGCATAGCCATCATTTGGCACAGGAGCTTTACAGATATAAATTACAATGGCAGCTCTAGGACAAARTATGCAGGAGGAGAAGCATGGCAAAGTTGAGATGACTTGGATGGGAAACGAATCACAATAGTGTGCATTGGCAATGCACACTGATAAATCTGGTCCGCCAAGTATTCACTTTTCCACGTTGTWTCAAATTATAACCACAAACCTCAAAGCATTATGCTTTAATACTATAATTAGAGACACGCTAAAAAGTTGATTCACATCAGAAATGTGATTCTCATTTACAACAATTCAGTCCATAAAAATAAATAAACAAATAAATAAATAAATCCAGTGGCTGTCACCGTATATTTTCTAACTACGTGGGACGTCCCGACGTCACGTTTCAATAGTGCCTTGAAAAAATGTTCTAAGACTTGGGACTTGAATTAGACTTGACCCTGTTTCCTTGAAAAGACTCGATATTTTACCCAAAAAATCTCACTTTAAAACACAATATCTTCTGTCCTTTTTTCACACTCTGTGTGCGTGAGCTGCAGCAGCAAATTAAATTAAGTAGACTTTAAAAATGGACAGTTAGTTTAAAGGAAGACTATTTCTGCAGCTGTGTTTATTTGAACTGTTCAATATAAAGGATGCAGTTTTAAAAAGATTTTTTAAAAACGTAAGTTCAGCTGCAGGTTTCATCACTATTTGAGATACATATAAATTTTTTAAAAAGCACTTTTAAGCACTCTAAACATTTCAAGTACTTTTCAAGCAAAATTGTTTTACAAAAGACTCAAAAGGACTTTAAATTTCAAGTTTCAGACTTAGGACTTGACAGTTGCCTGTCTTGACTTGAGACTTGACTCGGGACATAAGGTTAAAGACTYGAGACTTACTAGAGACTTGTAAAACAATGACTTGGTCCCAACTCTGCGAGCAAGGTTTGCAAAATGAGGATAAAGCAGTTTTGAAACATGACCAATGTGCATGCTCACATTATCTGCTTTGAATGAAAAATCTGTTTTGAATCAGCCACAAAAATCAAAAACGAATCAAATCAAATTGAATCACGAAATCTTAAAAGATTCCCACCCCTATCTAATGGTGCAGTAGTGATAAAACCATTTCCTTTCTTGCAGTGCTAAAAACCACTCATTCAGTCAAATTAATTAAATAAATTATCACCAAATTCTAAAGAAACATTTTAACTAACAGTTCAATTTGATCTAAAGATTTTTGAGTAAAAATCAAACTAATTCCTGCTCAAAATCTTATTTTGCTTTAGTTAAAAAACTAATTTGATTACTTTTTGTTGCATGAATGTTTAATAATTACTTAACCACTATTCAAAATAATATATTTTATTTAAATTTTTTATCAATTCAATTACTTTTATGATAAAATTTTAAAAGAAACAGTTTCCAATTTGTTTGCTTCAAATGTTTGGATAAACTTCCTTCAGCTTCAGCTAAAGGGTGAAAAACAAAAATAAGTGTTGATCAGTAAAACAGATCTGGTGCCCCGGTCTTTACAAGTCGAGATAAATCATCGCCCTTACTTTCCTCACACACATCCACCACGCAGTCTGGATTTACCTCGGCAGACCAGCACCTTCAGCAGTTTTATTAAAACAAACCGATGCGGCTTTTCTCCAGCAAACACAGCTAATTTGAAATGCATAAGTCTGTGCCGTCACGCTGTGTCACAGGGCCGTGAATATCAATTTGTTCTTTTTTATGAATTTATATTAAGAATCAAAACTTTTTGAAAAGAATTTTCAATAGCGCCTTCATTTGAAACATTTTTTTTGCATTTCAATTCATTTATTCCTCTTCCTTCCAGCAATGCATAAAAATGCTATTATGCTAAAACCTGTATTTTCTTCAAATCAAACATTTGAGCTGCAGAGAAGTAGAATGGAAAAAGTTAACTTTACTGAACAACAAACTTCTTTTAACTTTAAGAGGAAGGCTTTGTCTGCTTTTGGATATGTTCCAGAGTTGTAAAGTAACTAAGTACAAATACTTTGTTACTGTACTTAAGTAGAAACTTTGGTTATCTGTACTTTACTTGAGTAATTATTTTTCAGCGTACTTTTTACTTTTACTCACTACATTTTTACACATTTATCTGTACTTTCTACTCACTACATTTTTTAAAAAGGTAAGAAGTAGAAAGTCGTTACTCCTGTTTTATTCTGAGTTGTTACTTATAAAAATCCTCTCCTGATAAACTGTGTCTCCTATAGAGTGAATTTAATTGTGTTTGGATGAGAAGTATAAATATATACCATTCTGACACACTATTATCTTGTACACAACCCATCACAGCTGCACGCTGTTAGAAAATATAGTTTTTGGAGAAGTCACCTCCCAATAAATGTCATTTTGTAAAATCTAACTGCTCACTTTTACTCAGTACTTTTACTTTTAATACTTAAGTAGATTTTGTGTCAGAAATTTACTTTTKATACTTAAGTACAAAAAATATCAGATACTTTTAAGACTTTTACTCAAGTAATATTTTAGAGAAGACTTTAACTTTTATCAGTGTTTTTATGATAAGATACTTGTACTTTTACTCAAGTATCACTTTGAGGTACTTTATACAACACTCATACGTTCACACGACTGTAAAAGAGTGAGCGCGGTCGGGTTTGTTCAGGTGAGCACCGGGTCAAAGCTGCAGGCCTGTCACGAGGCGTTTGCAGCAGGAAGCAGTTTATCAAGACGTGGGGACGACCGCAGTGACAGAGAGGCTCGTCATGCGGCAGGCACTGGAGCTCGAGGCGACAAGGCAAGCGAGCCGTCYTCGCCTGGTGTGAGGGAGTAAAAAGCTCCTACATGATAAACTCAGAGTCTCACACATGTTACAGACGAGACCAGACCGCTCCATGACTTGGCTCTGCAGGAGCCACGAGTGCCACTTCGCTCCACATGAATCACCATCACTGGGAGGAAAAAAAGCTGGAGCTTTGACAAGAAAGGCTCCAGTTAAAGAAACAGTTCAGCTCTTCTGAAGTGGGGTTCTGTGGAAATGAATACAGGCTAGAAACAGGTGAGAGTGGGCATCGCAGTAGCCTGGTAAAAACCAGACCCTCGTCCTTTACTTTGCTTCACACAAGGGTCTGGACTCTCGGCTATAGAGAAGCGATTCTTGCTGGAGGCGTGGCCTCTGAAGTTTAAAATGATTGGATCGGTTGGCCGTGACGTGTGGCAGCTCCACTGTGAAGGAGGCTAAGCTAAGAAGCTAACCGGAAAATGTGTGCGCTGTAAACAACCCTACTGAGAGGAGAGAAGTACCGAGCCGAACGAGACGACTGTAAATGAGAGCTGCTGCTTTGTCAGACACATTTATTTTAATTTGAAGCCTTAACACAGACTGGCTTCATTCACTTCCTCCACTGCTGTATGCTAAACTAACTAGCAGACACTGCACAGAAAATCGACGTCGTTCAAACTCCGCCTTCTGTTCTCTGATTGGCCCGGACGAAAATTCTCCTGAAGAAATCCTTGTCTATGAGAGACGGAGCAGTGAAGGTAAACTAGAATTGAGAGGAACTGCGTAAGAAGGCAAGGGCCAGGCTAGCATCGCAGAGGAGGAAGGAAAAATAAACCTCAAAAAATCAGAAATAAACATAATCCAAAAACACACAAAAATAAGAAAAAAACATTAATCCTGACATTTTAAAGAACTTCTAAAAGAGATAATTTGTCAATATGGAGTGCCAAGTGTAAAATAAAAATGAATGAAAATGTCACTAACACAAGTTTATTATTTAGCTCACTTTCTCAGTGTAAAATCCTA